TGAATGCCATCCAAAAACTAGCTCAGTAGAACCTAGTAGACTTTCTACGTGAAGTTCTTAACTTCAAATCGAAGTTTAGAACTTCAAATTAAAACTTTTTGCTCTCTGGGCAAGACAATGTGCAATTGTTACAAAACTCGTAGTAGCGCTTGACCGCACATAATTTTCTTCTTAAGGAAGGTTTTTCAGAGTATGGATCAGAATACATATGGATTACACCAAGAAATCTAAATGAGGCCAAGGACAAGAGTGAAGGTCAAGGCCGAGGCTGAAGTTAGATTACTTCAGCAATCAGCACTGAGACCTTGTTGGACTCAGTCTCAGTGCTGATTGCTGTCGTACGCAGCCAGCAGGTGGCCAATTATTTATGTAATTGACCAGTTGGCTGGATTTTAGCATGTAATCACGACACCACCACCACCACAAGGAGCAGGATGGGGGAATTGCTCTTCCAATGAAGAAAGAGGCAAGGAACCAGAACAAGCAAGGACACTGATGACTAGCAAGTTTTATGGATGATAGTGTAAGTCTGATTTTCATTATATTGATTACAAAAATACGGCTGGATAATATTCTGTTGGTTCCAGCAGCTTCCTATGATTGTCACGTAATAGACAAGAAAGCATGTTTTTTGGGCAGTTTCTTCACATAATCATACACTGATTGATGGCGTGCCTCTTCAGTCTCTTTCAAGGGCTGAGACATCTTCAGTTCATTTTCAAGCTGGGCTTGCAAAGGATACGTATGTACTGTAAAGGAAGCATACGTACATACTGTATTTGAAGCATACGTACATACGATGCTCCCTCGGAATGGATGGACATACGATTCCTACCTACATAGTGTAAGGTACTTTTCATATATATGTATTATACAATCCATAGTGCTGAGGATCATGAGAGGTCTAAGATACCATTTGAGAATACCTCACAAAGAACAGAGATGTCACGAGTCCAGAATAGAACCTCCATGTATATTCCCTACCAGGTCTACATGAGGATCTAATCGGAACTTCGGAATTCTTGTGAACACGCTGAATAATCTTAATCTTATAATTTCAATTTTCATACACCCTTAACACTTACTAAGCGTACAAGTAATCTCGTGCAGGGCTCGTTTGCTCTTTTCCCAAGCAAGCTCCTTTTGGTTGTACTCTTCTTTTACCTCCTGGATTTTTTCAGATAGTTTCCTCTGCTGCAAACCATGAGTGAGAATCGAAAGCTTGTTATTTAGTTCAGCGATTTTCTTTTGGGAATCCTCCAGTTGGCATCGGATCCTCTTTGCTGCATTCTCATAGTCTTCAGATTCTTCCTTTCTTTTTGCAGCTTCATTCCTCCCATCTGCAAGGAATTTCCTTAGAATGCTCTTGGTTGGTGTGACTGCTGCACCAGACGCATCCTTGGTTCTTTGTTCTTCAACTACTATACTGATGCCGCTGGTGTCATTCGGAATAGGACAACAACGCAAAGCTCTTACTGGGGATTAAATGTTCTTCTTTTTAGCAGCTGTTGCACCAAGGAGGAGATCTTGTTCTTTCTTGCTTTCCAGAACTGCTGCGGGGCCTTTCTTGTCTCTGTGGAGTCCTCCGTGAAGCACACCTTGAACTGCTCGTTGAATTACTGAATTTTGATGAATGTAAGGCTCAGCTGACTTATTGCTCTTGTCTCTGAGATGATTCATTCTCATCTTCTCAGGAACGGCAAGATCAGAGGCAAGGATAGTGCAGCATTGATGACAATTATCATGAGGTGTATACTTCTCCCAATCCTTGAAATCAGAATCCTCAGCAAACTCTTTAACCCACTGTCTTATGGAATGTCTCCCTACAGGCGCGTTGCATTTGAAGAAATATGGATTATTCTTCTTCCTATTCAAGTTAGGGTGACAAAGGAATGGGTCTTGCTTTGGATCACACTTCCCTCTATAGAAGTGGATGAGCTTCAGTATACAGTTTGGGTTTTCAGGGTCTTCCACAACAGATGGGAACTGTTTTGTTACAGTTGGATTATTAAGCGATAACTGGTGGGACTTATCAAACCCACCACCAGGGGCTATAATCACATACTTTAGACCTTCCGTGCATCCATG